GGCGAGACGCCGGGGCGCCCTCGCCGAGTCGCCGCCGCTGCTGCACACGCGTGCTGCCTTGTGCTCACCCCCTCCGCTGTCCTCCGCTCTAGGCGGTAAACCTGATCAGTGGTTTCGCAGGTGTGAATCCAAGCCTTCGCAGTAGCGTTAGGTGTTCTCTCCTGCTTCCATCAAAGAGAATTCAAAGGCAAATAGCTGCGTACTCCTTACAGGGAGAGGATGGAAGGAATGCATCTGAAGCATCTACCAAGAATTCTTACAAATCAAGCAGATGAGATACGTGACTTATGTCACCAGCACGTTACTGTTTGAACAAACTGTGGTGACACACTTGATGTGCTTCCCTGGTGACACACTTGATGTGCTTCCCTCTGTTTAATATCATAGTATCTCAGGTAGTCAGCTGCCAAGAGATGCCTGCCAAGGAAAGCACTGAAATAATTATTTTGTTTTATAGAAAACAAGTTAATTAGAACATCTTCAAGAGTTCTTACTTCTGGTACATCTGGAAATTTTGAAAATTCTGATCCTCACCTGTATAATGACCTAGTGTGCTTTCTTATTCACACACACAAACCCCCACCTTCCACAGCAGGATCACTCAGAAAGTACATTAGCACTGAAGGAAGCTTGATGCATAGCCTGTAATGGTCTTCTTTGAATAGAATTATTTGGTATTAGCTAAACTGTTAAAATGCTAACTCAGCTGCAGTGAGCTTTCATCGCACAGTTCTGCTGACCATTATTTGAAAGACAAACTTTGTGCACTAGTGAAAAAAAAAAATAGCTCTAAGTACAGCTGGTTCACTAAGATGGCAAAGGTTGACAGATGGTCTTTTAGAAGAGAAAAAAAAAAAAAGACAGACCAGAACAAAAAACACTCTTAAGTCAGTACCACAGTAAATGTGCATATACAGGCAAAGGCACTGGAACTTTTATGTAGTAGAACTTAACAGAACACTTCATCAGTGGGCACTGAGAATAAGAATTTCCATTGACATCTACAGTTTACTCCTTATTTGTATTATTCAGTTCAAATCTGGAGAGCTGTGCAGGGTCAAAACTTCAGGAGAGGTCTTCATTAATTCAGAATACAGAAATCCCAGTGAAGTTCAGATGGCCTAGCAGAAGTATTAGAATACTTAAGTCTTTATATTTTAAGATAACTTGCAAAAACAAGAACCAAGTTTATTCTTTTCAGAATTAACTACTCTTTTTTTGCAAACTGGTGATCATGACACTGTGCTTCTACATTCAGGACTCTTGGTGCCTTTATTCTTGCTTTAATTTAAATGTGAAAGCTGGAGCATTCTTAATGGTATGCTGAGAAAACTAATTTTAAAATAATTGTTCAGTTATACTCAGTTCTGTCTTGAATCAGATACAAAATTATACTTTAGAAACAGTTTACTCACCTGAGTGTAGCTCAGCATATCATTTAAATTTGGATCAGTTAAATCACTAGACAGTAGCATGTCCTATGTGAGACCTGTGAATGACTATGCATACGGTTTAATATATGAAAAAGTGTTGTTTAATTATTTCAGATAGACACATCAGTTTCAGAAAAAAACAAAGTATTACAATCAAGAGGATTTCTGCTGCAAAAATGCTCCAGGCAGTGGCTTTTCAGTGTAATTTTAGAAAGCCTATTCTCATTGTTCTCTGTTAAACTTTTGCACAGCTGCATTGATATTTCTAGCCAAAACCTCAGCATGTCATCAGCACTATTTTCAGTACAAATCCAAAACACATCCCCACATAAATTAATGTGAAGAAATTTAACTATGGCAGCCAAAGCCACCACTTTAAAACTTGTTTGACTATGGGAGCAGTGTGTAGGTGACCGTTAACATTCATTGTAATTCAAGTTCTCAGAGGTTTTGAAAGCAATTTAATTTCTTTCTTCTGGTAGAAATTTGTCCTTTATATTTCAGTAGAAACTAGTGCAAGATGGACTTAGGCTCTGATGCATCAGGGCCAGCACTGGATTTGCAACAAAATCTGGCATGAGTGTGAGACCACTCTGCAGTAGCTAGCTTTGTACATGGGAACTGAATTAGTGTTTAACTTTGATGTGAATATTGAGCAGTTATTGAAAGAGACATGACAGTCAGTTGGAGAGAGCTGCACACAAAGGCCACACGACTGCAGTAACTGCACACATCTAGAACCACCATCTTTGTGTAGATGTAGGACGCTATGAAGATGATACAGGGACTGGAGCAGAGAAGACCAAGAGGGGATCTTATCAGTATCCAAAGGGCAGGTGTCAAAAGGGTGGGGCCAGATTTTTCAGTGGTGCCCAGCAACAGGACAGGGGGCAAACAGGCACAAACTAAATCAGGAAGTTCTGTCTGAACGTAAGGCTGTGAGGGTGACAGCCCTGGACCAGGCTGCCCGGAGAGGTTGTGAGTCTCCTTTTCTGGAGAGATTCAAAACCTACCTGGATGCAATTCTGGGCAACCCGCTCTGGGTGAACATGTATTAGCAGCAGGGTTTAAGGAGATGATCTCCAGAGGTCCCTTCCAACCCCCACTGTTCTCTAATACCCCAGACTTTCTTGAAAACAGGTCAACTCTGATGCACCTCAGGATACCCAGGTGTTGGATGGGAATGACAAACTGACATTGGACAGCCTGGGCAGCCTACTTTCAGCAGCTTTTTTTCCCTAGAAACTGCTTGGAATCAGGATGGGTGAATTGCTGAACCATCAGCAGTCTCTTCCTGTGGGCCATCTTCATAGCTGGTCTTGACCAGCAGAGATCGTGCCAAGAGGGGAGGCCCCCCAGTAGGCTTATGACCAGGGTGCTCTCTGAACGCTTCATCCATCTCTTGCATTGCCCCCAGCTTGCTTTTGAGACAGTAATGCTACTAAACATTTTGAATTGATAGTGTAGATGGAAAAACACGCTTCTGAAAGGAATATGAGATGCATGGTTTAATTCCACAATTAAGTTTAGTGTATTTTTAGTCTTACCTAGAATAGAAAGCCATAATTTCTTTACGTGTTTTTTAGATTACTTAAACCTAGCCTGTCAAGTTTACAGAAAAAGGTTTGCAGCACAAATCTGATTGATTTTAATGCTTTCTCTAGGGTGATCTTCATAGAAACTACTAAAGACTTCAAAGAATTCATTTTAGGCAAAATAAGCAAAATAAGTTGTTCTCATAAAGTAAAATGGATCCTTGTTCAGTTGGAGTTCAGCTTCAAGCTACCAGTGAATGCCATAAGACCTATTATACCCGCCACACTGGCTTCAAGGTTAAGCAAGATGTTTCTTCATCTGATCTACTGTTACTTCAGCTTAGGACTGGAATAACCCTTTCAGAGAACAATACAATCTGCTTCCACCATGCAAAAATTTACATTGAAAGATTTGAAGACTTACAAAAATCATGCTGTGATCCCTTTAATATACACAGAAAAGTATCAAAGAAAAATTTACGAGCAATTGATTTAGATGATGCAACTTTTCTAAGTGCCAAGTTTGGAAGACAGTTTGTACCTGGTTGGAAGCTTTGTCCCAAATGTATGCAGATAATAAATGGAAGCGTGGATGTTGAATCCGAAGATCGCCAAAGAAGAAAACTTGATTCGGACGTATGTATATGGATCAGTTTTCCCATCCCCCCTAAGTTCTGCAGGCTATTGGAGTTGGGCTTCACACAAGTCCTACATAAAGAAATTAAGTTTTTTAATAGAAATATGAAAGGGTGTAGTCTTTCAGATGTGTGGGAGTTTAATATATTTAGACCTTTATTTGGAGGACCTTAAAAAAAATCCTCTTCCCCAATTAAATAGTATGGCCTTTTAAATTCAAATTATTGTGTCTACAAGAGTGACTTTCAACTCATAAAGTTAAATAAATACCAGACTGCTGCTGGTATTATAAGATGCTATTCAAGCCTTGGAAAAAATAATCTCATGTGCTTAAAACTGAACATTCCAAAGGTTGCTTCTAAGCCTGTTGAGATAAACTTCAGGTTTATTCTCTTCTCCAGCAGTTCATTAGCACATTAGAATGTGCACCAGGGTGAATTAAGTGTACTCTTGTTGTGGTGTCTGAGCTGTGAAGGCCATGGTGTTTGTTCAGGGGCACCACTGAACTGATGTGGGAGGATAATGTTTAAGTGCTGAGTTTGGAGCACAGCTTGTACATTATTGGATGCATTGTTCAAGATGAATGCAGCTGATGAGTAGAAGTGTGGACAACCAAACTGGCAAGAGCTCATCCATCTGTGCCCCATGGCAAAGCAGAAATGCATTCTATGAGCTGTTGCCCAAACGTATTTTTCAATTATATGTTGGTATGATTAGGAGACTGATAGAGGTGAAATTTGAGAGTACTGATCAAAACTATAAAACTTGCATTGTGTGGTTTTAAGACTGGTACTGTTCCTCAGCATAAAGATTAGAGTTGAGGTCAACAGTTCATCCAAGTTATTACAATATCCTGGCTTGACTAGACATTCTTATTAATTTAATTTTGTATTTGTATTTAAATGAAATTATCTGTCTTTGTTCAGGGGCGTACAGCTAAGGCTTTAAAGTCTTTACAGTTTGCTAATCCAGGAAGACAGACTGAATTCATTCCCGAGACAAGTAAGAGGGAAAAAAGAAGGCTGCAAACAAAAAGTGCATCATTTAATTCAGACAGGTGAGCTGTTTCCTGGATTTACATTAACTTGCACTCCAGAATAAAATAGCTGTGATAGTCAGTGGCCCTGTAACACTAAAATTTTCTATATTGATGTTTGCATGTTTATAAATCACCTTTTTGGGGTTTGAGGTTAAAGCTCACTGTCACTATGGAGGTAAAACAAAAGAAAGTGTTAGGACACAGTCTATATTTCAGGCAGTTAGAATACAAACAAATATTTGGTAAGGAATGCCAATACTACACAGATCATAGATAGAGCTATTAATTTATCCATAAACAAAAATTCTGATAATGAACTAAATTTGAATACAGCAAGATCAACTAGACTACAGTTAAGATATTAGAGTGGTCATCTTTCAATAAATTCAATTGTTTACACATTGTAAAAAAAGTGTGCAAGTTAGAACCTCACCTTCTTTTTGGAAAAGGAAGTTAGTGTCCAAGTGAACAATATTAGGTAACAAATTACAGCCTTCTAATGTGACTGATTTTGAAATCATGGTTTCTACAGAGGAAGGGTATATGCAGCTGGATTTTGTCTATCATTTTCCACTAAAAGTTTGGACCAATTCAGTCTTGTCCTAAAATGAGAGCAATAGAAATTCCAGCTTTAACTAGTTAAATATTTGTTAAAACGTGCAAGAAAGATCACTCTAGTGCCTGTCCCCTGCTTTCCACCTAAACTTAACCTTGCAAGACAGAAACAGCTACTAGATGTGCTGCTCACAAACTGCACATTTGTTTCCCTTCCATTTGTTCCTTCTACTCAGTTTGGGCACAAGCTGCAAACAGGAAAATTCTGTTGATATATTAGAAAACTTTTTCTATGTATGTAGTAAAACATCGGATCAAAAGTGTTGTGGCATCTCTCATATTAGAGCTGTTCAGAGCTCGGCTAGGTGCAGCCCTAAACAACCTAATTTGCATGGACCTGGCTTTGAACAAAGGGTCAGACAAGGTAACTTCCAGGGGTCCCTTCTAAACTGTCTTTTTCTGTAATTCTGCAGTTGTTACATACATAGCTAATAAGAGCATGAAAAAAAAATTAGTGTATGCACCCTAAATGGTTCTACATGACCTCCTTTCAATTACAGCTACATGTTAGAAAAGTCAACTCGGGGAGTATTTCACATCATCTGAAAGTTCACCTGAAGTTTACATCATATAACTAAGAGTATTCCTAAGTGCTTGGATCTGTGTGCTAGTGAAGAAATAAAAACTTCCCATTTTTGAAATTATCTCAAAAGCACTATAGCAGAGAGAAAATTAGGACTGAGAATTGCTTTCAAATACAGTAACACATACACATCTTTTCAATTAATGGAGTGTTAAAATGAACCCCTAAAGACAGCAAACTTCTGTCCTCAGCCAGCAGCAGCTTGACATCAAAACTGATTTTTTTTTTTTTTAATTTTTAACATGGAAATAACTGTTGTTTCTCATTATGCAGGCAAGTTATACCAGCCAAGAGTAAAGTCTACGATAGCCAAGGGCTACTGCTTTACAGTGGGATGGACCTCTGTGATTGTCTGGATGAAGACTGCCTGGGGTGTTTCTATGCCTGCCCCAAGTGTGGCTCCAACAAGTGTGGAGCGGAATGTCGCTGTGACCGCAAGTGGCTCTATGAGCAGATTGAGATAGAAGGAGGAGAGATCATTAGAAATAAGCATGTTGGTTAGTGTAAATGTGCACTATTTATCCTGAGTTTATATCCCATGCTTTGATTAAACACAGCACATTCAGAGTTTAGTGTTTAATGACAGGTATTGGAATTTGTCACAATCCATGTGATTTATGTGCTTGCTTTCCCATTTGTTTTCAGTATGATTATGGAAATAATCACACTGCTGTCTTTTCACACTTCATTCTACCTTGTGCTCACTCTTGTTAGTCATCCAAGTTCTCACTGAATAGTCTTTCACTGTATTTAAGTGTAAGGTGCTAAATTTTCATGTGATCTATTGTGAGTCACTCACTATTCTTTCATACACTGTTTTGTAGAGTGTACCATCTCCATGTATCCCTCATTTTTCCTTCTCTGCTTCAGGATCTTAGGGGTTCAAATATGTTGTACATGAAACATTCTAAAAATGTCTCTGTGACTTTACATGCAGTATTAATATTCTCCAGTATTAATAGTGACCACTATATCTTCTATAGATTATCCCAGCTACATCTGATAAAGTCAATCCTGTTCACTTAAATGGAATCAAAGGAATTCAGGAGTTCGGATCCCATTCATGTTACTGGGATTTGAGATCAAGTTTTCCTTATGAATTCAGGCCTCACTGTTACAGCATTATTGAACTGTCAAAGCATTGAAAAATATTTAATTGGGGCACTATTTTGTTGGTTTCTGTATAACAATTGAAAGTAATTTTGCTGTATTTATTACTAGTCAGTAATTGAACTGGGCTGGTATTTAACAACCCTCTCCCCTTTTTACTTGTTACTTGTTTTTAAGGTAAAAGTTTACATGCAGCTGCAGTGAATTTGAGTGTCTGTTCCCAAAATGAGAATATCCAGAATGCTACAAAGAAAAAAAAAAAAAAAAGGTTAAATTTAAATTGTTCTTATCTATCCTCAGAAGATTAAAGTTCTACAGTATAACAAGTGTTATGGAAAAGATTTCTATAACTGAAATCTTAGTAACATGGAACATTATTCCTTCTTGTTTCCATTGTGTTTTTGATAAATTTCCTGTTTCTTTGATAGACCAAATAAACATGGGAGGCCTCCATGTTTATTGGGTCACATTTATTGAAGAATACTGTTAACTATTAATTTCCAAAGGCTTAGTTAGTAAAGTTGTATAATCTTGCAATTCATTTAGTGTATTTTCTGGGCTAGTGAAAGTTGCATTGCTAAAATCCGAAGTTGTGCTTTGGGTTGTGCTGACATCTGCTGTCCTAGTGAAGTAAAGCAGCGACTTGCACTACATTTTTGTTATATCTGCCACGAAAATAAAGACGTTTTTTGGCCAGAGCATTGGCTGTTCTCCCAATGAATGTGTCTGTTGTTGGTCTTGAATCCCAGCCACATTTATCATAAGAACCATCCTGTGAGTTTATTTAGGGAGAGCAGCACGCTCTTACGCCTTCCCAGACAGCAGCACCACAACGAGTGATGGCACTGGCTGCCCTTCCGTGCAGATGGCATTCAGTACACTTGGCTTTTGTCTGCAGAGCCTATTTATCCTGACACAGCAGTTTATCTTCTGTGCTTGATCTGCATTCAGAACTGTTTCATCTCTTGACTTTTTGAATTGGATGAAAACAAAAATAGATACCTCCACAAAAGTGAGAGGGAAAAAGCTGGCCCAGTCTTGTAATTTTTATGTTTTTATTATTTTTTAAGCTCAACCAGAGTCAGCAGTACCCATTGTTAAGAAACTTAATAGGCTTCCAAGTGTTTGATGAGTATAACTAACCACTTCAGTCCACAGTTAGACTTGGATTCAGTAACTGTTAAAGCCTTTCACTGAAGTACAAGCCTACCAGTGGCTTAAATTGCTTAGAGCACACCATAATTACAACTGTATTTCTCCATCTCTGTTAAGTCTCTGAAGAGTTATTGTGTGCAGTCTCATTTTACAGATTGACTAGCAACTGGTACTTTCCCAAATAAATCACTCAGGTTGTTTCCTAACAAAATGCACAAGACTGCTCTTTAGTAAAAGGTGTGCCAAGTACTGTTTGCTACAGAAGCTGTTGGGGACTTAAGTTTTTTTTTTTCCCTGTAAAACAGGGCTTTGTTTTACTAAGTTCAGTAGTATGTTTTTATACCTTTCCATGTCTCCCTCATTTATTTTTTCTGTTAAAAGATGGTGTTACAAGTTTTAAATGTTGCTAGATTTAAAATGATTACAGCTATGAGATTATCTTGCATTTTTTCCTGCACGTTTTGATAAACACCACACACACTTAGCCCATCAGCACAATACACAAGCTATTTTATCATGCTCTAGCAGCAATTGCATATTGCTCCAATAGTATGTGTAGTCCATCTTTCAGAATTTACAGCTAAGCCCATTAAACAGTGTGCTCTTGTAATATACCCAAAGGAAACCGCTGCTTTCCACAGAAGTCAAAATTCATAAACCAGGTGTAGTAACCACTTAACTCTGCATGTATTAGAGAAAAGCCAACTGCAGATGGACCCCAGCTGCCATGTCAAAATCTGCCTTTTGATATTAATTGCAAACAATGCCTTGGCATTGTTTAGATATTCAAAAGAAGTCAACGACAACAAAAGAACCTAGTTCATGAATAATACATATCCCATGGATCAATTTGAGTTTATGGAACAGAAGCTCTAGTTTTTTAATGGCTTAAGTACAGCATTAAAGCACTGGTTTAGTTTTTCTCACCCAGACCAAATTCACATCAAGTTTAGGACACTGCGCTTCCAATTTGTTTGCTTTGCACTAAAGTCAGAATCAGGTTTTGTGGCAATATTTGTGTCTCAATAGATGCAGTTTCAGCATTTCTCAGCTGATTTCTCGGTGGAACATGGCATAGAGTATCTAGTCCCTCATGGTCCAGATAATTTTCTGTAATAATTCTTCAGCAAACATTCTTAAAATTTTATTCACCTTTATACTGACTTCTAACCAGCTGATATCACACCATTCTAATGACAACTTTACTTAAACAGGCTAAACAGTTCTCTCAAATCTTAGGTTATACATGCTTTTAAATCCTACTAATAGCAGAAGAACAGTTTATTAAAAAAGGATTATATTTAATGATCTTTAATTACAAGTTCCATCTAATATCTACCAATGTGGAAATTATTCTTACGTTCATTCACTGCAGTTAGGTGTTAACAGCTCTCCCAAGCACATATTAAAGGATATTGTAGGGAGGTGTGAGCAGTTGCAATTAAACTGCCCACTTCACTCTTTGTAGGGCTTTTGTTCAAAACATGGTGCTGCCTTGAAATAGGGGGTTACATTTTACACTTTCCTGATTCCCAGTAGAGGGCATCAGCTTCCTGCAAACCTGGCCATGAGCTTCTGCTGGTGCACCTCTTAAGAGCTGCATCCCAGTCCCTGAGCAGGAGGGAATTTGCTCTTCCACAGATTCAGGCATCGAGCCCAGGACAATAGAGACATTACCCACGGCTGGGAGGCTGCAGCAGAGCAGACCCAAGTACAAGACTAGCACTTAGGAGAAACTGATTTGCTTTTTGGTCTTTATAGAAGCTTCTCATCCAGCACCCCGAACACCTTGCCAATTAATAGTTCTTTAAGTAGAGATCAGCCCATTTTTGTAGAGACATGTACAATTTGCAGTGTTCGCTATGAAACTGGTTTAGAACTTCTACCTGAGCCTTCCCTTAGAAATTCAGTATAGGGTAAGCAAGAAACACCCTCAGCAGGGTCCTGCACTTGTTAGCAAACCAGGAAACCTTTCTGACATCCACACTGGTGCTACAATACACAGCTGAATAACCACACGTGGCCTGTTTCCCAGACAAACAGGTGAAATTCTGACAGCATTTTACCAGAGTAGCTACAACAGCAACCAGAAGAAGCCTAACGTAACCTGTGGTAGACCAGGGTGGGGAAAGACAAGAAGGGCAGTCAGGGGTAGGAAACGTTTCCCTGAGTCTCCTACTATTACTAAGTGGTGAGAAAATTGTCCTAATTCTTCTCTTCCTCCAGCTTCCTTTGGCAGCTGAGACACATGGACTTACTAGCAAATTAAATCTGTATGGCACACTAAATTACTTGCCCTTCTCGGCTCCTGTTAGGGTAACATTAACAGCTGGAGTACAATAAACTCAGTTCTCCATCTCACCCGCAGGTGACAGCACTATCCACTCTGAGCTCCTGAGAGTAGAGAGTCATGTACTGTCCACGCAGAGCCACAGACTGCAACCAGGAGTACATGCAATTCTCTTCTGTCATCTTCTGATTTTTCTGTTATTCTTCTGTTTGTTCTTGCATTTTAATTGCTAGCTCTACCTACTTTAAATTATTCATTCTAGCTACTGAATTAATACCATGAAGCAGAAAACATTAATTTACATATAAAAATAAAAGAACAAAATAGTGTCAGTAAGCACCAGCTAAGTGCCTCAAGCAACGCACTTACCAAAACCATCAGAACTTAAAAACTTCCCAAAAAGAAATCACTAGAATCCTATTCAATTTTATAAGTCATGTAAGAAGCTAGAACAAAGGATCAAAGTACACTCTTCAGAGCCCAGCTCAGAGAAGAAACAAGCATTGCAATCTGATGTCTATATAAAGGCTACAGAGCTATTTCAGTAACACAACTTTGCTTAAACGTAGAAAATCAGATCTTTACCAACTTCCAGCAGCAAAGTAAGTTTCCGAAATCCAGTTTGTTGGATCAAAATCAATGTTTTTGTCCTAAATCAATGTTGTTGCAACCTTGCTCCTGACAACTGGCTTTTCTTAATAGGTATTAATTAAAGGGATTGTGTTTCAGCTTAGTTTTCAGTTATCTTAGTTTCAGCCCAATCTGTAAGAATAAAGAGACAAATCAGAGTAATTACTCTGTTAAACATCTTTGTGTAGTATGTCTAACCTCAAGCCAGACTCCTTAAATTGTGCAGGCATTGCTGAGGGGGCTCCACTGTTCCATCAAGCCAGTTTGTTGTCCCTGTATTTCAGTGGCAATAGCAAGCTCTTCTGTCTCAGTAGTGCACTCGTAT